CCATAGCCGACCACCCCAACCCTTCTCCTACCTCCATCACCTACACCCATCCACTATAGCCAGCTACCCCAACCCTTCTTCCACCTTTATCACCTACACCCATCCACCATAGCCGACCACCCCGACCCTTCTTCTACCTCCATCACCTACCCCCATCCACCATAGCCGACCATCCCGACCCTTCTTCGACCTCCATCACCTACACCCATCCACCATAGCCGACCACCCCAACCCTTCTTCCACCTCCACCATCTACACCCTTCCACTCGAGAGTCATAGGGGGCGCAAAGGAGCACACGGAGTCCGGGTAGGGTCGGTTAAGGTGGGCCAAGGGTCAAGGGCGATTAGGATGTGGAGCCTCTCTTGCCCGCTCTCGCGCTTCCCTTCTTCTTCACTTCTTCTCCTTCTCCTTTTTCTCCCTCTCTCTCTCCCACTCTCTCTCTCTCTCTCTCTTTCTCTCTCTCCCCCTCGCCTCATCTCTCCCTTCGCTCTCTTGCTCCCACGGTCCTTGACCCTTAACTCTCACCTCGTCCCTTCCCTTCCATGGCACGTAACTAACCTCTACCCTCACCTGTTACATTGCGAGGGGACGAACGGTAACGAACCTTGATCCTCACTTGGTGGAAAGCGAGGGCAAGGGAAGGGCAGCCGGTCCCTTGTGCCACCAAGAAGGAAAGGCGCAGGACTGTTGTGGACATTGGAGAAAGCGGAAAGGAGTGTTGTTTTTGTAACAAGGTCAGTTTGACTCAACCATCTTCCCCGACTGCATGACTAAGGTGAAGGCATGCCTTGCTTGAGTGAAGGGAAAGGTAACCAAAGGGTCATCAAAGACAAAGGAAACTTAGGCTTGTGGGAGGGGGCGATGTGTTGACCCCAATGGGGATTATACTTGGTTTTTGCTTTGTGTGGTCTTGCGCAGGTGAGTAGCCTAGGGTGGTCTGAGCTGGACTGCGTCCGCCGGATGTGGGCGGGAATAGGGAAAACGACAAGAGAAGGACTTAGACCTCGCTTAAACTATGAATGCAGGATGGGTTGGATGGTCGGATGCTTGGATGAGTGGTAGACGCCTGGATGTGGCTTGTGTGACGATTGAATGCAATGACTCTCTGGAATGCAATGCAAGCCCAGAAGGACTAAGGGCAGTCTTGGATAGGTGCATGCAATGCTAGTGGGTCGAGCAAAAAAAATATAGCGGGTAGGGGTCCGGGCGATGTCACCCCACCCCAAGGATGCCGGAGGGGCTGTCTTGAACCACTAGACATAGTGAAAAGGTGCGTGGCCCAATGGACGACGCTTGACCTGCGCATGATAAGAAAACAAACCTTCAATAAACTCCCTGGACTACTTGCGTATTGGAAGGAGCAATTGTCTGGCCAGACTTAATCGAATCAAGAAAACGCCGCGAGTGACCAAAGAGCTACCATCTTGACGCGAGAGCGGAGCTACATCCCCCAATGTAAAGCCCTCTCGCAAAAGGCGCATCCCCATCCATCTCATAGCACCAGGTGGGGGTGCCCCTGGGACGAACGACCCGCGCCCTGAGCGTGAGCGTGGGCGGGTCGAGCCAAATGGGACCCGCAAAGGGGTCGACCAAGGCTCGAAAGTCCTTCAGGGTCAGACCCCTACAGCGTTACACAATTGGTCGGTGTAAGGCTCACTGCACGCGAGGATAAACACAGTGCAGGGTTGGCCAGTTGTTACATGTTGTGCCTGCAACAGGCTGCACGGGCCCCCTTTTAGGCCCGTGATGTTTTCAGGCCAAGAGCCTGAAAACAAGGGCCTACAGGCCTGTGTCGTTTCAGCCTGAAAGCCTGAAAACAAGGGCCTACAGGCCCTGTGTCGTTTCAGGCTAAATCAAGGTTTTTCCGGCCCTGAGTATTTTCAGCCTGAAACTGAGGGTCATTTTCAGGCCCTCATCAGTCCGACCCGCCCTGAAACTCAGGCAACAAACCAGGGTTT